AAAAATTTTAAAAAATTTTCAAAACTGTCAAAATATGACAGGTAATTTATTCCTTTAGGCCCTTCAAATTTTTTCAATTAATTAACCCCTAAAATTTCCCTGAAATTTTGTCTTTGATTGCAAGTTGTTTTTCAGTTCAAAACTCCTCCAAAAACTCCTCCAATAAAGGGGTGTAGTGTATAATACGAGAAAGTCTACTAGTATACAACGGGGATACCACGTCAGCTATCCCCATCCAATAATAGAACGACACCTCATAAAAAAACACCTCCTAATTAAATTAAAGACACGTCAGTAGCTTAACGGAAACATATGAAACGGAGAACTTCTTCGTCCCAAACGTTTTCTCTTCCCTTCATTCCTCTCTCATCTGTCTTTCTCTTTCTTTCTGGAATTCTCATACCTTCCACTTCTGCTGCAATTCATAATAGAAATTATGTGCTTGCAAAAAGCTTTTCATACGATCTGACTTGGTTTTCCTTGAATTTCTAGGCCATACAAGACTAGTGGTTGTTTAGATTTGGTTTATGCTGCTACCAAAAAACTATCTTTGGATTTTACACTTTAAAGGGTCTTTTGATTTCGTCTTCCTTTTAGTACCGTGTTAAAGGCGAAGTTCCCCTTCTTTGTCTTCAACTCAGCTCTAAACTCTACTGTAGCAGTTAAAAGGAAGATAATTTTTGCTTCTAAAATGAACAACGCAGGAACAAAGTGCATAGAGTTTTGTATTGATCTAGGATTTAGGGGAATTTAAGCACCGAGTTGCTTTATCTCCAAAATCCCATCACTAGAAAGTTTTAATATTTTTTTTCAACCCAAAAAACTTTAACCTGATTCTTTTTCGCCCAGATCTAAAAAAGTTAATTTTTTTTCTTTTGTGTATGACTAAGTTTTCCATACCACAAATCTCCTAGAACCCGTTATTCACAGTTCAGAAGAACTCATATTTTTGGTATTAAAGAGAAGAAAGATGGAATTTGGTGGGAGTAAGGGATCTTGCAAACTTAGATAGTCACTGCTACTTTCGTCAGCGATGAGCACTTGGGGGAGGATAGGGAAGAGATGATTAAGTTAATTTACAAGGGATAAAGAATTTTTCCGTTAAGTTAAATTGTGGTAACTGTCGAACGGTGAGCTGTCTTTAATTGGATGATGAATCAGATGATGAGGTGTTCAAATTTAATGAGCTGTCATTTTTTTATTGAATGGGGATACCATCTGATGTGGTATCCCCGTTGTATAGTAGACTTTCTCGTATAATACAGGTACACTGGGCATCCCCATTTTCATATTTTAGCTCTATTTTTTTACCCCAGAAAGAATGCGTAGATGCTTGCTTCTTTCCGTCTTTTTATCCTTTTTGTTACTTCATCTACCACTTTCTTGGATTTTCACTTAGAACGTGGAATATAATTCTCTTCCATTCATTTGGAATTGGAGGTCCAATCTGAAAGGAAAGGAAGGACCCCATAACCTGCAATTATTGATCTTGAAAATTGAGGAGAAGATATGCAATCTCTCACCTTTTGGCCTTTTCCATCCAATTTCATAAGTTAGATTTTTCTTGCTCATAGATTTTTTAATTTCTTAATGCCTATGAAATTTTCTTCCTTTTACTTGGGTTTCCCATTTGCGTTCATTTGGAGTTTGAATTCCATAAAGCATTTTTTTGCTTTCGACATGGAGTGGTAATAGAGAAGGATTGTTATTTTATTATTTAAACTAATTTTTGTTTTGTCCGTGCGTTGCACGGATTTTTTTTTTTTTATATTGGAGTTTAAATACTTTATTATTTTTTATGAACTTTCGAGTTTTATAATAATTTTTAATTAAAAAAATTTTAATTAAGTAATTAAAATTGAGTTAAAAATTATATTTAGTAATTAATAGTAGTATTTTTAAAAAAAAAATTATATATAATCACACTAAAAAAATATATTAATAGAATTTTAAAAAACACTCAATATTAATTTTTATCTCATTGA